CCTAAAATTATAATTCATAGTTTTATATTGGAATCGTAGTGTCTTCCAGAGATCAATTGTGCAAGAAACTAAAAGCCTTAGTCACTTTATATAGAATAAAAATTATTTATTATTCTTGTGTATTATTTCTATACAAAGAGGTTGTACGTAAACTCTAGATCTTTACTTTATTAGGATTGCACTAGTAAAATTTAAAAAATTTATCAAATTGAATGGCATGCTACTCAAACTGCGCTATTCAATATTATCACATGATTTTTTGAACATGCGTATTTGTGAAATTATATGATTGTACTGAATAGTAGTTTGAATATGTAAAATTCGAATCATGCTATTCAATATGTAAATTTTTTAAATTTTGATAGTGTTGAAATTTATTTTCAATGTGCTACCAGTTTACACATTAACTCTATATATAGGGAGATTAAGGTTTCTACATTTTCTGTATCATTCAGAGATTCTGCATATAAAAAGATGTGAACACATGCAACTATCATAGGAGGTTTACTATATTTTCTAGATTCTTTGATTTCAAAACTCGGATTTTTACCAATCTAAATTTTTAATTCTTATAGACACATGAAAACTATGTGTCAAATTATTCTAGCAAACTTCATTTATAATTTTGCAGTATCTTCCGAAGGTCAATCTTCCTTTTTACAACATATGATACGTAGTGTAAAAACTAAAAGCCTCAATTACTTTATATAGAATAAAGCATTGAAGATAAGCTATATATATAAGATAGTTGCTATGTATAAGTACATATATATTACATATTCTTGCATATTATTTCTACATATACAAAGAGGTTGTAAACTCTAAATACATCATTTTATTGAGATTGGTAATTTAAGAAATTTATCTTCAATATGCTTCTAGTTTATGTATTACCTCTATAGAGAGAGATTTTTTCTGCATATATATATGTATTTTATACAGATCAGAGTTCTGCATATAAAAAGATGTAAAGTATTATACATAGAGAGTTTACTATATTTCTAGATTTTGTGATTTTAAGGCCCAGATTTTTACTATCAATTTTCTAATTCTTTGGTTCTCACACAGGCACATGAAAAATTTAAATTGTGCACTATATATTTATTATTATAGAGGATTTATAATTTGAAAATTTTGATTACTCGCATGTATGATGCACAATTAATATAAATAGGACCAAAAACTTTTTTGGCTTGATAGTAATTAATTATTATATAGTTTGATGGATTTGGTGACCGAATTTTATAAGTATACTGTACTGTTTGGATTGTTTTATTCGAATTATATATAATCTACTGTGAAATAGCGCCCACTTGAATACTAGTTAATCGAATTGCATGATGCTGGTTTTCTGAATCAAATACCGTATTGTTTATTATACAAATATATTATAGAATGCGTATTTAAGTTAATGCCTAACTTAAGAATATGAAGAACTTGATTTCAAAACAATAGCACTTTGTTTCAAGGATTCATTCGATTTCTAATAATACAATAATACTCTGAAAGCAATTTGGTCTAGCAAATATATAGTAATTACATACGTATTTTTCTGTGATTCAAGAAATTTCAACAATAGAAAGAATAAAAGTTATTGTTGTATGATATGTATTAGATCGTTATTTTATACTTTTTGCATTTACATAATTATTACGTATTATTAGTTTTTATTTTTTGCATCTTTCATATGCTTTTATTGATAATTCGAATTAGATAAATTTTAGCCTTAATTGCAATTTATATATAAATACGGTTTAAATGTTAAGCAAGCTTCTAAGAAAAATGTCTAATGAACATCAATACCATGTTACTTTATTGGATGTAGGGTCTATAGTCTACGAATTACACAATGGACTGTTTGCACGAAATTAGTAGGCCATACGTTCTCAAGAAAATAATCAAATTATAGTACCATTCTGTTTACATATGCGTCTTATGTGTCTTCTTAACAAACAACAATTTTTTATAACGGTTGTTCAAAGCAAAGATAATATTTTACAACTGGGTTTTATTTGTACTAGTGGAAATAGCAGTAGTGGTGTACGAACCTCACTATCAACTGCGATTACTATAGCATACAGTATGATTTTTAAAACCAAGATGACATTTTCTGGGCCAGCTGTAATTGGTTTAGATCAAATTGTCATTACTTCACAATTATTAGAAGATGTTTATTTTATTCCAATATTTCTTACTCACGACACAATTTCAATAGTAGTTTCAGATATAGGAGATATAGATACATATGACGGTTTTGTCTCTTCTTTAATCACTAAAAAAGAAAAAAATTGTGATAGATACTTAGTACAACAGAAAATTATCAATAATAAATTTATCCTTGATTTTTACAAAGAAATGAATTTAGAATTTTATTATGAAGATGAAAATGCATTAGCTGTTTGGAAAAACGCTAAAGTTTTATCTAAATACAATGGAACAGATCTTTTTGGATATTTATATTTTTCTGTTATACAAGAACGATTAACTAAATCAATGATTACATGTAAAAAAAACTCTTTCCGTCAATCACTTACACAAAACTTAACTAAAAATTTGCCAGTATAAAATCCTTAATAACTCA